TCAGTTCAGAGAGTCCAGGTGGTTGAGTATCAGATTGTTCCATCTCATTTCCCTTTGGGGTTGCTGTAGGTGATCCAGAAGTCTGTTTTTGAGACTTATTTACGCATCTTCTCATTTCCACGGTTGGGGGGTGTGTGTGCTTCTGGCGCCCGTGTGGCTCACCTTCTCTGCCCTAGTAGCTTGGGATGGTGGAGGGAGAGCTTCCTTCCGGGTTTTGGGACTGGCTCAGCTTCTCTGCCCTAGGAGCTTGGGATGGCGGTGGGGGAGCTTCCTCATGAACTTTATTCTTGAGTGATACAAATCTTTCTACCCAGCTTTCTTCTTTCGTGTTTTTTCCCTGAACTCTAGATGGATAAATACATATGTATAAGCATTCACAAGAATGTATATATTTTTCTAATAGCCTTTACTCAGTAAATATTTACTTTAAAAGTTTTTCTTATTTTTCTTATTATGGAAGAGAGCCACACTTTTTATATTATAAAAAAGAACACAAAGATTCTAGAACTAATAATATCAGAATGTTGGCTTGTATGAGGAACCAGCTCAGTGTCGTTGTTATGGAACTGGGCCCATTTGGCCTGCGGAACAGTTTGCCAGTCACTGAAGAGAAAGTTTATTCATGCAGTAGCCAAACATGGAGGTGGAATAGCAAGTCTGAAGTCCATTTTACACAGGATTAAGGTTAGAGGTATTTATGGGATAAAGAAATGGGGTCAATAAAGATACAGGGAAAGGTGATTGCAGGCAAGGAAAAGCAAAGCAATCAGTGGTTTGCACATGTATAGCAAAATCTTCATAGCTCTTCATGGGATGCTGATTCAGAAAATGGCAGGGTTAGCAGAACCAGAAGGTAGAGGTTTTCGTCCTCTGATGTCACCCAGTGAACAGCATAAATGAAGACTTAAGCAGCCTTAAATCACAGGTAAGTAATCTAAGTAATAGGTATCACCACGACCCATGTGTCAGACATGCTATCTAAGGCAGAGCTATGGGGAGACTAATAACACAGTGCTCAGCTACATGACTTCTAAAATTAGGGATTGTTAAAAGCAACTAAAAAACCAAACTAAGTCTGGAGTGTTTATTCAGTGTTTATTTCTCCTTGATTTTACTGTGTGTCAAAAATGAGTAGTAAATATTGGCTATTGGTGATATTAGACTTGGAGATTGATGTAGCAGAAAGCCGAAGAGGTAGGGAAATCTAGATTGCATAGAAGGTGTTAGTGAAGTGAGTGGTCTTATGGTCCAGATTGAACAAGGACATACAAAGGGTGACCAAAAATATGGGGAAAGTTTAAATTAAAAGAAAACTTATTGTAGTAAAAGACACATTGTCAAGGACAATGGGGATAATGTGTTCAAAGTGTAGGGGAATTAGTGGTATATGGTTGGACATCTTTAAGTAGAAGTGGTAGAAAAGGTAGATGAAAATGGCTTTTTTGTGTTTTTTACCACAACTTCCTTTTTATTACAACAGACTTAAAAATATATTTTCACCATACTTTGTGACTTCATAATGGAATAAGAACAAATTAAGCATCTGTCTGCTTTCTGGGTTCCAATTTTGCCCTAATTCTTATTTCAAAATCACCCGTATAATCACATACCACAAAGATGGGAGTAGGGAACTGATATTTATTTTCCTTTTATTATTCATGCCCATTAATTTTACAAAATACTGGGTTTCAATGTGTACAATACATTTTGATCATATCAACCTGGCCTATTACCCTCTCTTATGCCTTTTTGATATTCTCTGTTGGAAGAGTAGCAGACAAAAATTTTCTCCCATTCTATAGGCTGTCTGTATACTTTGTTAGTTGTTTCCATTTCTGTACAGAAACTTTCAAATTTGATGTAGTTGTATTTGTTGATTCTTAATATTATTTCCTAGGTTACTGGAGTGCTATTCAGGAAGTCTTTCCCTGTGCCCATGGCTTCAAGTGTTTACCCTATGTTTTCTCTCAGCGAACTCAAAATTTCAAGTCTTATACCTAGATCTTTGATCCATTCTGCATTGATTTTAGTACAGCGTGAGAAATAGGTACATAGCTTATCTTCTACAAGTAGATACCCATTTTTCCCAGCACCATTTGTTAAGAAGACTATCTTTTCTCCAGTGTATGTTATTGGCCTGTTCATCCATGCCCTCCTGGCCCACAGGGTTTCTGCAGAGGAGCCTACAATTATTCAGATGGGTTTACTTTTATAAGTGAGTTGGCATTTCTGCTTTGTAGCCTGCATTATTCTTTCCCTGTTCTGTACTCCTGCCATTTAAACTACAATGTGATGTGGGGGAGTTCTTTTCTGGTCTTACCTGTGGGGTTCTAAATGCCTCCCATACCTGAATGTCTATTATCTTTCCTTTGGTTGGGAAGTTCATTATAATTTCATTATAATTCAT